GTGTGTAAAAGTGCTGTTACGAATGTTCTATTCGTAGCAGCGAAGAATCAATGGTAACACACGAGCAGAGAACAGCTCTGTACCTCGTGACTTGCTCGAGTATTTCGACCGATTCCTCGGGAAAACTCGAAATGTTGTATGCACTCCGAATATCGTCCTCGGTTGCACTTGGATGTTGCAGAACTAAACTGCAGTGAGCCTTGCGACGGACACGTTGTACCACGTGGCGCACCAAGTGTTGTGTATTCACAGATGGACAAGATGCATGCCCAGTATGAAAGTATGATAGTAATAACTCTCACTTGTAGTTTCACCTTAAAGTATTTATTTACAGTCAGCTCTTAGCTATGATGCTTATATTACAACGTTCGCGTTAGAAGTGAAGTTTCCTAGCGGAACATGAATGTACATTTTTCGTTCGGTAGAAAGGGAAAATCAAGCGGCTAAAACATTTCATTGGTTGACGGAGCGGTTTGTCACGTGGTCCAGTTGGGGGTAACACGGTACCTGGTGGAAGGGATTTTGTTAACAAAAAAATAAGTTTAAAAAAATGAAACGGAAGATGGTCCTCTAGGGTCATAAAAGATTGGATTCTAGGTAGTCGAAAATACGCTGGTTACAACCAGTCATAAATCCTGTTAAATCTTGAGCCGGGTGAGTACCTCATGCCTAAGTGCATGACATCCGTTAGGTACAAAAAATAACGGCCCAAGGACCGATGGCTGGACGTGATCGCACAAAGCTAATCTTAAGTTTTAGTTGTACTGAACACTATTTACAACGATTTTATGGTTTAGGACCTAACAAATGATGTATAGATATATTATAATTATACTAAAGAAGATTATACATAAAAGAATAACGCTTAATACATGGATGTGTATTGCGCAGCAACATGCCGGCCGCTTTGAACTATCTAGTTCAATTAATACATTGCTTTACTTAATATCTATGGGTAAAGGTGATAAGTTTTTAATTGATCGCTTATATTCGCCTGTAGTGGTCTTGACGGTTACTACTCGGATGATTCCGTCCGCTCCGGGATGAATCTTGGTGATGCGTGCCAGAGGCCAATGCATAGGAGGTGTATTGTCCTCTTTCATAATAACGAGGGTGTCGATATTGATGACGTCGGGTTGTCCGGTATGCCATTTTTTCTTTACAGTTTGCGTGTGCAGATACTCCTTATACCAGCGAGACCAGAAGTGTTGTCTCATCTGTTCACTTTTTTCCCAACACGCTAATCTGGTAGGTGCTATTTCGCGTAGGTCATGTTCAGGCATGCTTGTTAGAGGCTCGCCAATCAGGAAATGACCTGGGTTTAAAGCCTTTAGGTCGTTGGGATCTGAGGACAAGGGTAGGATGGGTCTCGAATTTAAGATGTCTTCTATTTCAACTAAATAGGTTAAAAAAGCTTCAATACTAAGCAATGTAGTTCCCACTACGCGAATTAGGTGATGTTTGCAAGATTTCACGGCCGCCTCCCATAGTCCTCCAAAAAGCGGAGATCGGGGCGGAATGAAATGCCAGTTAATATTCTGACTTGCTAATGTGGAGAAGATTATTTTCGATGGTTCGTCAGACATTATTAAATTGTGAAGCTCATCGATTTCTCTTTTAGCACCGACAAAGTTAGTAGCGTTATCAGAGTACAGGTCCGTAGCTTTACCTTTACGTGCAAAGAATCGTCTTACAGCTGCTAGAAAGGCTTGTGTAGACAGGTCCTCTACCATCTCTATATGAATGGCCTTGGTAGATAGGCACACGAATATAGCGACATAGATCTTAATTCTCTTACGATTACGTACACCTTTTTCCTTAATAACAAAAAGGTCCGCAAAAGTCGACTCCAGTTTTCAGAAAGGGACGTGAAAATTCGACGCGATCTTTGCGTAAATTTCCCATGATATATTGAAGCGTAATAGGCTTTGCTCTTCGACATTTCACGCATTTGTGCAAGATTTTCCTCACATATTGTCGACCATCAATTATCCAATATTATTCGCGGATAAGATTAAGCGTTGTTTGAACACCCGCGTGCATGTTTTGGATATAATTAAATCTGTTATATGGTGATTTTTCGGTAGCAATGCTTGATGTTTTTGTTCATAAAGAATATTAGAGTGTCTGATACGTCCGCCTACGCGTAAAATCTTGTCAACCTCGATAAAGGGAGAAAGTGATGATAAATTAGCAGTCAAGCTTTGATTTTTAGATAATGTGTGAATTTCTTTATAGAAACTCTCACCTTGCACCACTTGAATGATATGATCTAGTGATTTACGTATTTCGTATGCGGTGAGCAAACCCGTTTCTCTGTTTGTAGGGTTGCGACAATTGTTTGTGAATCTATAACAATAAGCTACGATACGCTTTAACTTAGTGAGAGATGAATAACGCTCGAAAATATCGTTTTTCTGTACGATTGCTGCAAAACTTGTTAAAGGTTTGATTTCTGGGATATCGATAAATTGCAATGTTGTTTTTGGCCACATGCTTTCGTTCAGTATTAACCAAGCGGGACCATTTTACCATAGCTGATGGTCGAGGAATTCATGTGGCGTTAGTCCACGAGAAATTAGATCCGCGGGATTACTTTCTGATGGTACGTGATGCCATTGCTCAGGCGAGCTACACCTTTGAATTTCGGCGACACGATTGCTAACAAAGGTTTTCAATTTATGGGGTGGTGTATTCAACCAATGTAGCGTTATCATAGAGTCCGACCAAAAAGTAGTCTTGATGAATTTTATATTACGTAAGGCTGCTTTGACTGTATCATGTAATTTAGTTAGTAAGAGCGCAGCGCATAATTCTAATCATGGCAGTGATATGGATTTTAAAGGGGCAACTTTCGATTTGGCGCATAAAAGTTGTACATGTATTTGACCATCAGAATTCGTAGATCTTATAAAAATACAAGCACCGTATGCCTTTTCGCTTGCATCAGAGAAACCATGAATCTCGACATTATGATAGAGGTCTATAGTAACTTTACGATTAACACTGAAATCGTGTATTAACGGTAAATCATTTTTATAATTTTGCCAAGCATTGCTTATATTGGCAGGGAGAACCTCGTCCCAATCGATTTTTAATTGCCATAGTTTTTGCATGAGTATTTTAGCTACTATGATTTCGGGTCCTAGCAGGCCCAACGGATCGAATAATCTAGCTATTTGTGACAGAATCGTTCGCTTAGTTATTTTCTCACTCTCTTCTTTGTTGTTAATTGTGTACATGATTCTATCGTGCTTGGGATTCCAAACTAGGCCTAATGTTCGGATTGTCTCCTCCAGATTCAAACTGACATGTTCATTTTTGTTGTCTTCTGATAAATCGTTAACGAGTTCTGGTACGTTAGATGCCCATTGTCGTAGACAAAAACCGCCTTTATTTGCGAGATTGATCAATTCGTTGCGTAATGTTTTAGTTTCAGCAAACGACTGTGACCCGGTAAGTAGATCGTCCATATAAAAATCGTTTTTAAATATGTAAGCGGCACGGGGAAAATTCTCAACCTCATCATCCGCTAGTTGTTGCAAAACGCGAGTAGCCAAAAACGAAGTTGGTGTAGTTCCGTATGTCACGGTGTTCAGTTTGTAGATTTTGATTGGTTCGTCCTTGTTTTTACGCCATACTATTTTGTGATATTTACGATCGTCTGGATGGATGAGAATTTGCCTATATATCTTAGCTATGTCCGCAGTCAGTACAAAAGAGTGTAAGCGAAAACGCAGGATTTATAGATAATAAATCGTATCACGGGTCCGGTCATTAGAACGTCATTGAGTGAAAGCTTACTAGAAGTTTTGCTAGAAGCGTTAAATACAACGCGTGTTTTTGTCGTTAAGCTAGTAAGTTTGAAAACCGCGTGATGATAATAAAAATCCGTTGGTATCGAAATGTTTTGATTCGGTCATATGCCCTAAGTTTTCATATTCATCCATAACTTGTGTATATTGTTGTTTCAAATCCGAACTTTTGTCAAAAGATCGTTCGAGAGAATAGAATTGTTTCAATGCCGTGTTACAAGAATCGCCTAATTTGTGTTTATTTTCGTTAAATGGTAAACTCACGATATATCTACCGGAATCTGATTCACGATTAGTGTTTTTCACGAAATGTTCTTCACAAGCCTGCTCCTCGCTTGACAAGTATTTCTCTCTTGGGAGCTCTTCAATTTCCCAGAATTTAGTTAAGTTATGGTTGAGCATCTCAATCGATGTGAACTTGCATATTAGCTTGTCGTTTGCAACATTCGTCGAAATTCTTCCGGCAATGATCCAACCGAAGACCGTATTTTGCATTATTGCACCGCGATCGTTTATTGTTCGTTGTCCAGGACGCAATAATTTGAGATAAATCTCGGTTCCGATTATACCGTCTACTGTGCTCGGATTACAGAAATCTGGATCCGCTAGTGGTTTGTCAATGTGTAACGATTCTCGCTTCGCATAGTATGCGGGAACAACATCAGGAAATCTGTCGCGAACAAGGAACTCTAATTCGTTGGAATAATCATGGACTCTAGATTTAAATTTGGCGTTTATCATATTCCTGTAATGCATGACAGTGTCGTTTATGCCAGACACAGACACGTTGACATCGTACCGAGGCAAGTTCAATTTGTTAGCTAAAATTTTCGTTATAAAATTTGCCTGAGAGCAAGAATCTAAAAGAACTCGAGCAGAGTGCGGGTTTCCGTCGCGATCTAAGAAATCTATTTGTGCTGTCGTTAAGAGAATTTGACTCGAATAACTAGAATATAAACACGCAATATTAGATTTTACACTGTTCGCTTGAGAATTAATTGATGTGTTGTTGGCTAAGTCCTTATGCAGCAAAGTATGATGGCGTTTATTACATCTTTTACAGCCCTTAGATTTGCAATCTTGTATTTCATGATTAGCGCGTAAGCAATTTAAGCATAACTTGTGCTCCTTCACTATTTTCTCGCGCTCATCCATGGTAGCATTGATGATTTTCTCGCAATTCTGAGTGTAATGATCCGATTTGCATAAACAGCAATAAGGTGATCTAACGTTTATTTGAGCTGCGTAAGATTTTTGAAATCACGATTTGTTTAGTGAAGTTGTAAAATGAGACGAGTTGTAGGATTTATCCGTTCTTTGCGGCTTAGTATCCTCTAAGATTCTTTGACGATTGTGTAAAAATTCGAGCAGATTTTCCATTGTGGGAATGGTATTATTGCAAAGAGTTTCCTTCCAGGAAGGTTCTGCCTCAAACTCGTTCGTTCTAGGTGGCGCCGATATCTCACACCCCTCCGCACTAAGTGGGAAACCATATCGTTCTGGAGGTTTGGTATTCCTACGTGGTCTAACTCTTCTTTCAGCGTTAAGTTCTTCCTTGTCTTTAGTATTTCCTTTGGGTCGGCCCCTTTTACAGTTACCCAAAACCGGTGGATCCCGCAAAATAATATCCGTGGTTGCTTCGTTGGAAACTACTTCTGGTTGTGGACTCTCATCCCTCCTTCGACGTCTCATCTTGCGATGGTGAAGACTTTTCCTCAATATTCGATCCATTCTCCACCTCCTCGTGAACACTCCTTTCGCTGTTGTTCATAACATCACGACTATTCACCGCCACTGAAGCCGATGGACTATCTATAGTTGATTCTCTAGGCAAAAATACTTTAGATTTGTCCGTGCGCTCCGCCTGGCGTGGCTTGATCTGATCGAAATGCCTTCTCCAAACCATTCCCGCATCAACTTTACATAAGTAGACTTTGTTGCCTTCAATGCCTACGATTACAGCCTCTACCCAGTCTTTCTTGTTAACTCGCCGGTAATCGCGCGCATAAACTTTATCTCCTACGCTAAAATGACGCGTTTCTTTACCTCTATGGTATTTGACAATGTTATCCCTAGCTCTACTGGTCTGATCATTTGGTCTTAACATGTCTAATCTAGTACGCACACGTCTATTCAACATCAATGTTGCTGGTGATTCGCCAGTACTGGAATGTATTGCATTCCTATAGCTTAATAAATATCTACTTAATAG